CCCCCCCCCCAGCCCTGCAGAGAGCGCCGGACGGGTGGGTGCTGGGCCTGCACCAGGCCTGGGGCGGACGCAGTGACAGGGCCACTTAGCGATCCATGCCAGACAGCACTGTCCCCACTAACTCAGGTAGCGCTGCTTTTCTTGTGTCTCTGTATTGTTTTAACTTAGGGGAAAACTATTAGAAATGGTTTTGAAGTTATAATTAAAATTTCCACTTGCCTTAGGCAGACAGCTGTGGGTTGAATGAAAAGGTGTAAATGTAGGGAGCAGCTCATTTTAAGACCAAAAGGCAGGCTCCTTAGAGGGAAGGAAAGAGCGTAGTGACGGGGGTGGGTGGGTGGGTGAGGGGCCTGGCTTCAGCTCTCAGGGGGGCCTCCTGTGGGTGGGATGTTCCCGGGCTGCCCCCTCCCACTCAGAGCCTGGTCTTGCCAAGTGTCGGAGAAAACGCATCTTTCATCTTTGCTGAGGGCTGCCCGCAGAGGTGTGCATGTGTGAGAGAAGCAGGTGCTTGGCACATGTGGAGGGCCAGGTGCAGGTGAGAGCGAAAATATGCCGAGGATGTGGTGGCCGAGCTGCCTCAGACAAGGATATATGTGGAATAAAGCCAGGGCTCGTTCCTGTACGCCTTTTAGCAAGAGGGCCAGGCCCATCCTGATTAGCACCGATACCGTGCTGTGCCGTGTGCTAGGCAGTGGTGGTGGGCACCTCTGACCCAGAGCTCAGAATGGCAGTTCCCGGTGGTGCCGCTCCCCGTGTGGCTGGGCAGAGTCAAAATAGACCATCCTCATGGGACCTGCCCCACACCCTGTGGCCAGGACCTGTTCACTGAGCTCTCAGTGTGACACAAGCCCAGGGCAGAGGCAAGAACTGGGGCTCAGAGTGGTCCCGACATTTGGCCAGAGTCGTGGCCGGGGCATCCCATGAGTGCAGACCATGCTACATCAAATGTCCTAGGAGGGCCCTTGTTCTTGGCGACCCTCATCGTACCCTCACCTCGGTCATTAAGAAGCTTGTCCGAGTCGCTTGGCGTCCTGTGCAGACTGTGACGGGGCCCAACGAGCTGCCCGGGTGCACTTAGCAGAGAGCTGTGGCCCCTCTCCGCGGCTCACTGTCGCTGGGGATTCTGGCTCCTCCTGGGGTCTCATGACAGTGGTGATCTTCCAGGTGTTCTCGTACCTGGGGTGTCCTGTCTGGGTGTTCCAACAGCCCATTCTCAACGCCAACCCCGGCCCTGCGGTCTCATGAGGGATGTTGAGCCTTGCAGAGCCAGGCTTACTCATTCTGTCCGCCTCTTTCTTTCCCAGGGCAGTGAGGTGCCCACCTATGCTGATGGCGAGCTCGTCCCTGTCTTCTTCCCCGAGGATGAGGAGGAGGCCATGATGCTGGCCCTGCCCGAGGGCCCCCCAGAGTCAGACATGGACAGCCCCATGGAGAGCACCCAGAGCCTGGAGGGGTCGGTCGGGAGTCCCGCCGAGGAGAAGGATGGGGGACTCGGGGGCCTCTTTCTGCCGGAAGACAAGTAAGTTAAAACCGGAGCCCTCGGACATGCAGCTCGGGGACGCGCTCAGCGCCACCCCCGGGACATTCGTCCCACGCATGTTCTCAGTGGCGAAGACCCCAACCCATCTCAGTACTTAACAGCAGGGCTGGTTCTAGAGTTTTAGGCAACACTGCAAAATCATTTTGATTGTTTAATCACAGGGATCATAGATCAGGTTTTTTAAAATATACAATTGATTTATTTGTATATATTTTACATCATTGTTCATTTTCGTGCAGTGTTGCTTGCTTTTCTCAGAGGTGGACCCCAGAGAATTCCCACCACCAGTTCACCCGTGCACCCTCTCCACAGGCCCTTGTGCGCTCCCTGCCCTCCCTTGGGTCTCTCCCACCCCGTCCCCTGCAGAATATCTCCACTTTATAGCTGTTTACTTTTTGTCTTTTCCTAGATCCTCTGTATTCCTCCTGTGAGTGAAACCATGCAGTGTTTTTCTTTTTCTTCTGGCTTATTTCACTGAGCATGATCCCTTCTAGCTCCATCCAGGTTGCTGCTAGTGGCCTGAGTTTTATCTTTTTTGATTGCTGAGTAATATTCTGCAGTGCTACATCTTCTTGATCCAGTCGTCTACTTTTGGGCATTTGGGTTGATTATCTCAGGTTTTAATTTGCTTGATCTTTTTCTCTTTCATACAATAGTTTCAGAATGACAATACCAACAAATATGAGAAGTAAAAGTCTTTTTAAGCCTTTGTCCCATAGGTTTATAAGTATTTTTTCTAATTCAACATAGAAGAGTTGTAAAATAGAAAAATCACAAAGAACAAAAATATTTATTATCCACAACGCTTATATATCAATGTAAACATTTTGGAAATATTTCCCCAGACTTTTTTATATTTTAAAATAATGATCTCAGTTTTTAAAAAGCAGGGCACAAAAATATCCATGGAGTGTGATCTTAGTTTTGTTAAGGAAAGCTGCAGATTAAAGGATACCTAGGAAAAAATTATTCCAGGGAATTAGTTCTTTCTGGATGGTGGGATTGTTGCTAATTTAATTACTTCTCACCTTCTCTGCTATGTGTCCTGTATTTTCTTTATTAACAATGCAGTCTCATAATAGACATTTTAAAGTAATACTGAGATCTGGTGCTTTCCCAGTGGAGCAGATCCTTGTTTGGCCGGTGCCTGTGGCGGGAGTCCTTTCCCTGCCAGCCCCCGCTGACCCTGGAGGAGGAGACGGTGCTTGTGGGGTGACGCAGCCACCCCCTCAGTCATGGAGGCTGAGGTGGTTGAGGTTGCTCCATCCACATGTCAGGAGAAATTTGACAGGGAAGAGAGTGGTTCCCCATCCTGGTTGAACCATGTGAAATTGTCAGCTTTAAGTAATTTTTGACCTTCCCAAAAAAGGCTGTTTCATATGGTTCAACCTAATACACTTTCTCGGTGCTGGGACAGCGGAGGGGGAAAGTTCTTCAAATTCAGGTGGCTTTGGGAGTCCAGTTCGCAGGCGTGTGTGCCTGTGAGCAGCCAGACCCAGGACAAGTGGTCACAGACATGAGACCGCCCGGCCACTCGGCTTGTGGTTTGCCACTGGCTCTCTTGTTGTGTTCTGGGACCAGCCACCAGGAGGCAGCAGCAGAGGGTGGCCAGATTCCTAGCAAAATTGACAGGAGAATCAACTGAGCAGCATGGGAAATTCACTGAGGGCAGGTAAATAAATGGATTTGGAACATTGAGGGGACTGGGAGGTGTAATCTTTTTATTGACAACTGTGGGCTCCTCGGGGCATGGCTTGAGAGTTACTGCCATAACCCTTCATGTGCCTTTTTCATTCTTCCAGGTTTCCCATTTTTGAGCGTGGGACTTAGTAGGTTGGAGAACCCCTAATTTATGAGTAACAATACCCAGAAATTACTGCATGACTACTACAGGGATGATCCATTATGGCAGGTGCTGAATTGTACTTCTCTTTGTGCTTGGGCTGCAGACCCGGCTCAGCCAGCCCCAATACTGTCCAGCCCACATGGGAGTCTGCCTGGGAGAGGTGGGGCAGAGCCTAGGGCCTGTGACCCCAGCTCTTTGGAGTGAGATACCTTTGAGCTAGAAAACCCCACCAGATACTGGGAGAAGTGTCCTCGCCTAGTAATTCACTGTTTATTTTTAAACTTCATTTCATTATTTAAGGATTACAAGTCAATTAAACAGAAATTGAGAAAGGCAGAAAAAATGAGAAAGGAGTAACTTCCTTTACTTGTAGTCCCATCACCCAAACCCAAGCTTCTTATTACCATTTAAATATTTTTATTTCCTACTGTTCTATAGTTGGTATAGACCTTTTACCTGTTGAGTCTTACTATATCTAAAAGTTTACATCTAACTTTTAATTTATTAAAAAATGATACTAATTTTCCACATTTATTGCCAGTACTTTTTACAAACCTCTTGGCAAGGATTTGACAGCCTGTAATTTAATCAGTTCTCTAATATGTTGTAGTCGGATGTCCGTGAGTGAATGTGGCGGCAGCCAGGCCACTAGGTTATCAGCTGGGCTTTGCTGCTCAGAGGAGCACTGGTTTGAATATCTCTGCTGCAGAAACGCTTTCTGCGGTGAGCTGCCTCTGCAGGGCGTGGTCCCCAGAGCGCACTTGCCAGGCCTGCAGGAGCCAGCCCCTCGAGCCTCCTGCTCCCCGGGGCGCCACAGCACCCCCCCTCCCCCCCCGGGCTGCAGCAGACGGCCCCATGCACCAAGCCTCCTCTCACGCGGCCTGTCTGGCCCACAGGGCCCTGGTCCTCACGCCGTCCGTGACGACGTCAGACCTGTCCACACACTCCACCACCTCGCTCATCAGCAACGAGGAGCAGTTCGAGGACTACGGGGAGGGGGACGACGTGGACTGTGCGCCCAGCAGCCCCTGCCCCGATGATGAGACCAGGACCAACGTCTACTCGGACCTGGGTTCTTCAGTGTCTTCCAGGTAACTTCGTGGTCTGGAATGGTATGTAGGGTCCGCGAGAAATGGCAGAACCAACCCAGCTTGGGGTCAAGGTCCTGAGCTGTATGGGTTCCGCTTCTGGTGCTGAGGTGCACTCCCTTTGCACTCCCTTTGCTTGGGGGTCTGGAAGTCTTTGTCTTTTCCATCTTGGGGGAAAGAAAACAGAATTAATCAACCAGGGAGGCTACAGACTTCGGTCTTTGTTACTCCGCTTCTTAGAACTCCGTGTTGAGGTAGGACTCAGGACCCAGTAGGTCCTTCCGGCAAGCTGCGGTGACACTTTTCCACACACCTGAGTCATCACGTTGGCACTCAGTTGCCTTGTCTGTGAAATGGGTACAACCCATCGGCTTCTTCTCTTGGAGAGCATTGGAGGAGGGCAGATCTGCTGGTCTGTTTTCATCCCCGCTCCTTGCCTTTGCATGTGTGCGCTGCACGCACCTCCTGGGGCCAGGCAGTCCAGCATGGGCGGATGGGCAGTGCGGCCGGATGGGGCTGGACACCAGGTCGGGTGGCAGCGAAGAAAGTGGTTTCCTGTCCTCTCACGAATCAGTGCGGGGCAGACTCCGAGGAAGGTGCGACACATGTACAACAGTGAGCTGCTGGATGTTTACTGCTCTCAGTGCTGCAAGAAAATCAACCTGCTGAATGACTTGGAAGCCCGACTCAAAAACCTGAAAGCCAACAGGTGAGGCCCCAGGACCCAGCAGTGGGGGAGGCCCAGCTGGGATGAGGGAGAAGCAGCCAGAGAGGCAGCTCTTGGTAGGTGAGAGCACACTGCGTGGGCTTATTCCCAGGGGGCTTGCATTTTGTGCACAAGAAAGCTGGGGTGCTGTTGCTCAGAACCAAGCTGATGAGTGAATTCTCTTCTGTGGGAGGGAAAGAGCCCCACCCCACACTTTGGTCTTTGCAGTGTAGTAAACAGGCAAGAGTGAGGCGTGAGCTGGAAGATTCAGTGGCCATTTTTTCTCTCTCTGTCTCTCTCTAGCCCCAACCGAAAGATCTCCAGCACAGCCTTTGGACGGTAAGGTCCGCTTGGATGCTGTCCCCCAAGTTGTGCTCCTGCTGCTAAGTGGGTGACTGGCTCCATGCCAGCAGGTCAGCCGGAGGAGGCCCACTTCTGAAGGGCCAGCCGCCACCCTGCTTCCTCATCTCTTTGGTAGCTGGTGGCATCTCCAAGCCCTCAAGCCCTGCAACCTCAGGCTAGCACAGCCCCGAGACACAGCCCAGCCCACGGCTGTCACTGTCCTTCCCCATGCCCGAGAGCTGGTACTGTGCCCACAGAGACCCCGGGCTCCCTCGCAGCAGAGACGGGGCACACTGGGGACCTGCTAGGGGTGACCACTTGGCTCAGCGAGATCTGTCAGAGCCGGCACCCCGGTGGCCAGGGGCTGGTTCCCCAGCAGACTGGCCCCAGTTTCCCACCCGGGGCTCCTAGAGCTCTGGCCGGCTGGGGTGGGTAGGAGAGTCTGGCCAGGCCCTGCTCCTGCTGTGGGGGTGGAGTGGCAGCTGAGCCAGTGCATTTCCAGTCCCCCCACTGGCACCAGCACGCTGCCCTGCACTATCAGGGTCGGTCTGCTCACTTTGCCCTCCCCAGAGATAGGGGAGCACCAGGCTGGGGACAGAACTGAATCCTGTGCACAGCCCTGTGAGGCTCGGCCCCTCTGCTGGGATCATGGAGCCAGGCCACCTTCCCGGGGAGTGGCGGGGGGTGGCCTGCATCACCGGTCACTGGTAGCCACTGTCTGGAATCCTGGGGTGGAGAGGATTCTGAGGCAGCAGGAGAGAGCTGTGATAGATTGGCCATGACTGCCAGGGGCCAGGACAGGCAGGGTGGGTCATCTCCTGTCCTCTGAGTTGGATGACCTCTTGAGTTCAGAGGTCAGGCAACTCTCCTGTGGGAACAGCCTTCTTTAGAAGGGGGTTCCTGGCACCCCTTTGGGGTACTGGGTACTCGTCCAAGCAGATGCACCTCCCTCCACTCCTGCAGGCAGCTCATGCACAGCAGCAACTTCAGCAGCAGTAATGGCAGCACCGAGGACCTGTTCCGGGACAGCATCGACTCCTGTGACAATGACATCACAGAAAAGGTGAGTCTGTGGGGGTTGAGGGACTCGAGGTGTGCATGCTCCGTGGGGTGGGAGGAGGGAGTGCCCCAGGCTACCGTCTGGGGACTTGAGAGACCCCGTTCCTGAGCAGGAGTTTTGGGGATAAGTGGCCCCATCACTTGTCACCCCACTCCCACCCCGCATGACTGTCCTCTTGATTCACGGCCAGTTGGAAGTCCTGCTCATCAGCTGTTCTCAGTTTGTCCGTTCTCAGTCCTGTGCTCACAAAGGCTTTCTCTACTTGTGCCGCAACCCTCCATTGTAGGTCAGCTTCCTGGAAAAAAAGGTGACAGAGCTGGAAAATGACAGCCTCACCAATGGGGACCTGAAGAGCAAGCTAAAGCAGGAGAACACTCAGCTGGTGCACAGGTCAGGAGCTGGGTGTGGGCTTTGGGGGCCTCGGCCGTGACCAAGGAACTGAAGTTCTTTGATACATCCTCTTGCTTCAGGTGCCCAGGAAGACAGGTCTTTGGGGGCAGGGAGATGGGCTGGAGCTTGACCTTGACCCCCAGGTCAGTAGCTTCTAAGTGGTTCTAAGGCAGGAGTTGGGATCCACTCGTCCGTCTCCCCGTCCTATAAAGATAAGCGCCTTCCCTTTCTTCTGGGCACGAGCTCTGCAGAGGGAGCTCGGGTAAGTCAGTGGGAGGCGTCTGGGCATTGCTGCGCCATCCCTGCGGAGGCCCACTGAGCTTGGCTGGCATGAGGGTCGTGTAGGATTTAGCGGCCCTTGCAGGATGAAGCTTGAAGATTGATCCCGGCCCAGGTAGAATCCATCCTGGTAGAGTCCAAAGATGGGCCCTTTTGTACACCCTAGCAGGTCAGCCTGATAGAGGGACTGTGCCAGTGAAATGTGCCCCAGATTGACACACCAGGTAGGCCACCAGTGGGGGGTGAGACATCATCGTGGGGCCTGGCCTTCTCTCCAGTCTCGCATGCTCAGGGTCACTAGCCAGGACATGCCCATTTTTGGAGTCAGGTGCCCAGTGAGCTGAATCACTGACCCAGAGGGATATTGGCCAGAAAGGAGTAGAGCGGGCGGAGGAGGTGAGATCTGAGGGCTGTTTCATCCAGCATGGCAAAGCCTGCCATGAGACAGCTGCCCTGCTGGGCACAGCCCTGCTGCCCTGGGAACCACAGCCGGATCTGCCCTCCCTGGCCGGTGGCTGGCACACCCCTCCTTAGATACTGGAGCGTCGCTAATCCGGCTGTCAGCACAGCTGCCGACCCACGGGCCTGGCAGACACCGCCATGTCCCACAGTCAGGGAGCTCGTAGCTCTCCACAGCCACAGCCGGGTTGGGGTGAGAAGACCCTGGCCATGAGAGCTTGTCCTGGACTGGAGTCTGCCCCCTCCTCAGGGTGCACGAGCTGGAGGAGATGGTGAAGGATCAGGAGACCACTGCGGAGCAGGCCCTGGAGGAAGAGGCCCGCCGGCACCGCGAGGCCTACAGCAAGCTGGAGAGGGAGAAGAACACTGAGCTCGAGCTGCTCAACACCAGGTGCCTGTCTGCCCAGCCCCTGCCCTGCGCCCCTCTGCTGGTGCAGCCTGGGGGCAGGGTGTGCCCTTGAAAAGGTCCTCCTGCCCGGGGACCGCTCCGATTACCGAGTGAGCACAGGGTCACATTTCGCAGGAAGTCCGCCAAGTGCTCCTAGCCGCATTGTTGGTGTTGGGCAAACTGGAAACAGCCTGTGTCACATCAGTAACGCAGCAGGTTAAAAACCTGAGCTGGTCCTGCCCAGAGTCCTGGGCTGTCTGTAATGATCAGGCTCGGAGCGCCCCCTGCTGTCAGATACTCGCCTGGCCCGGGGCCAAGGTAAACGGAAAAGTAGCACCTGGCTCCCTTGGGCTTCCTGGCGGGGGAATAGCTTGTTAGGACCTTGAGCAGGGGAGAGGTACTAGCCAGGGGTTCATTTTAAGTTTGCGCTCATATTCTAGAAGCTGCTGTTTGGCATCTATTTCTGGAAGCTCATAAAGCAGTGTTGCTCTCTGCTTCTGACGGCGGCCAGGTGTGCTAGTCTGAAAGAGGTGACTGGGACACGTGCCGAAGACGGCAGCCTGAGTGTGGGCCGGAGGCCAAAGCACAGGAAGCCAGCCCTCCTGGCACTTTCTCCTAGCCTGTACCTTTTGCACACTCCTGGGCCCCTGTACCCCAGTGCCCCAGAGCCAGAGTACTTGGTTCCTCACACTTTCCACGCTCCCACATGCCCTGTGAAGTGGCCCCGTCAGAGGCCCCTCCGGGGGCAGTGGAGGTGGGCAGCCGTCTGTCCCAGGAGGAGGAAGAGCCAGTGGGAAGGGCAGGGAAAGCAGGCTCTGGTGTCCGGAGCACCACAGACGGAGCAACCTGGGGGCCTGGCTCTGTCCTCTCATGGTGTTACCTTAGGACAGTCCCGGTGGGCACTCGCAGCCCGCAGAAGCTGGTGAGCACTCCAGAGAGCCCTGGGGGAGCGGTGGGGTCAGTGGAAAACCAACAAGGTCTTGTCTTCTGTGTGGCTTCTGCCAGGAGTGCTGTGCCGCTGACGGCCAGAGGAGGGCTCTCCGCTGGCAGAAACATCCTCCCTGATGCCAAGTCTCCAAGTATGCAGCCAAAAGATCTTATGTTGTTGTTCACAAATGTTTCCTTGTATCAAAAAAAAAAAAAAAAAAAAGAACTGATAATTCAGTGTAATACAGTTTTTTTGTTTTGTTGCTTTTTGTTTTTACTTTGGATGACAGGAAGCTGGACAGTCTTATCAGTGGAACTAATCATTCGTTTATATTCTCTCTCTCTCCCCTCCCTCTGCCCCTCCTCTTCCACCTTCTTCCTCCAGGGTGCAGCAACTAGAGGAAGAAAATACTGACCTTCAAACTTCAGTGACCCGTCTTAAGTCGCAGGCGGAGAAACTGGATGAGGTGAGCAGGAGAGGGGGCACCTGCAGCGGACCCCACAGAGAGGCAGGGCTGGCCACTGAAGCCTTTAGGTTCTCGTTTCTAAAGTTCTAATAAAATTGCTCTTGTTTAAAAAAATATATATGTGGATAATTTACCTATTCCTGTATTTCTACTTTCCAAATTGTCCATATACAATGAATATATATAGTGTGGGGAAATGAAACAGGACTGAAGTCAGCTTCTGCTTGGACTGCATCCCACTGGCATCGTTGAGGGACTTCAGAGGCATGAAGTTTCGTAGCTATAGTTCTAGAATCCAGGGATCTGTCTCTGTAAGCCATGACATGGGGGGCTCTGCCCAGGGGCCGTGCTGAGCACCAGTTTGCCAAGGCAAACAAACCCCCAGCGAAGCCCCTGGGGCAGTGAGAGCGACTGGGGGCTCTGGTCCCCTGACCTGGTCTCCCTGGCCCCAGGAGCGGCAGCGCATGTCCGACCGGCTGGAGGACACCAGCCTGCGGCTCAAGGATGAGATGGACCTGTACAAGCGCATGATGGACAAGCTGCGGCAGAACCGTCTCGAATTCCAGAAGGAGCGGGAAGCCACGCAGGAGGTGGGTCCTGGGCTGGGGGGGTGCCCGGGCTTCCTGCTGAGGCCCTGCTCCCACCAACCAGCCTGTCTCCCATGCAGCTCATCGAGGACTTGCGGAAGGAGCTGGAGCACCTGCAGATGTACAAGCTGGACTGCGAGCGGCCTGGCCGGGGCCGAAGCTCATCCTCTGGCCTGGGCGAGTTTAACGCCAGGGCCCGAGAGGTGGAGCTGGAGCATGAGATCAAGCGGCTCAAACAGGTGGGAGCCTCTGTCCCCACAGGGTTGGTTTCCGGCCAGGTGCCGAGAGCTATGGAACCAGCTGTCCGCATACTGCGGGGCCCTGCTCACAGCCCGGGTCGCTCGCTCACCTCTGCATCTGCTGGAGATCTCAGGGTCTCTGGCGCATCCAAAAAAGAGAGACGCGCTCTGCTGCCCGTGGCCGACAGGATGGCATGTGAGACTACACTCAGCCACGCGTGAACGCCACTGTGAGAGGGTCTCTGAGAAACAGCCCCCGAGCAAATTTCATGTCAAATGATTCCAAGAACATTCCAAAGTTGGAGCCCAGACAGGGCAGGGGAAGTCGGGTCAGGAGAGACAGTGACGGAGCGAGGGAGTGATGGTGGGTGACATTTGGGCCCAGCCTGAGCCCGGGGCAGGCGGCTGCAGTGTCCACCATAGCTCCAAGTCGTTCTCAGTGGAGGCAGAGGTGCTGGTGCCCCCACAGCAGGCCGAAAGCTCCTGCCCTTCTCCCCGTCCAGGTGGGAGCAATTCTGGGTATGAGCCATTAGGAGCCTTAGGCAAAACATGTAGCATGGGGCAGGTACAGGGGTTCTTAGAAGGGGCCCATGGGGCAAGGATGTCCCTGAAAAGATCTAGAACAGAGTCAGGAGCCTGGTGAACTTTGCCTCAGAAGGGGCCAAGATGCCGTCCAGAGGACCCCAGCCCTCAGTTTTCCTCACCGAGTGGGGTAACAATGTCCTCATACAGGGGACTCCTGGTCCGGCTCACTCGCCCTCAAGGAGGAACCATGCTACAGATTGAAACTGGCTCCCTGAGCAGGGCTGAGCCTCCTCACATTCCTCCAAACTCCTCCTCTCCTCAAGCCTGGAAAAATCCACATCGTCTATGCATCTCCTTAATTGGCTATGACATATCTCAGGGGCTGATGTGCGCTGAAACTGTGGGAGTCCCGATGCCAGGGCTGCTGGGAAGTGGGTTCTGGTAGGTTCTAGATGCTTCTGGAGTTGATGTTGCCTTGTCCTACTCCACAGGAGAATCATAAGCTGCGGGATCAGAATGATGACTTGAATGGACAGATCTTGAGCCTCAGCCTCTATGAAGCAAAGAACCTCTTTGCCACCCAGACCAAAGCCCAGTCGCTGGCTGCCGAAATAGACACAGCCTCTCGCGATGAGGTAATGCTCCTTTGGGACCTGGCTGCTCGCTTGTGAGTCCCCTCCCCAACCCCCTCTGCCATGACAAGCAGAAGCTACCCACAGCGTGAAAAACAGGCCACGACCTGGCCCCAACATGGTCCCCACCTGCATCTGCCCCAAGTGACACGACAGAGCTGTGAGGCAAAGTCAAACCAGGTCTGGCTTCATGCATGTGGTGGGGGGAGCACACGTGTAAGGCAGAAGGGAGTTTGGGTCTTGGCTCTGCCAGAAACATGCCCGTGTGACCTGCTGAATTCATCTACCTACATGCTCTGCATGGCAGTCTTGATTATAAATGCTTTTAGCCCGTATTCTCAACTTTTAGCTAAAAGTGACCCACACCTGCACCTCCATAGACCAATCAACTAGAATCTCTGAGTGAGGGGCCTGGGCATCGGCATGTTGCAGACTCCTTGGGTATAAGCTCAGCTGAGGCCTTAGACGCTTGTCTGGGCATCTGGGTGCTGAGGTTGGTTTCGGAATCCCACACTGCTCAGGGCCTGCTGAGCCCCTTGGCTAACAGGTATCTGAGCTCTGCCCACACCCCAGCCAGCGGTGGCCTCTCACCAAACTTTCTCCCATTCTCTTCAGCTCATGGAAGCCCTGAAAGAGCAAGAGGAGATCAACTTCCGGCTGAGGCAGTACATGGACAAGATCATCCTCGCCATCCTGGACCACAACCCCTCCATCCTGGAGATCAAACACTGAGACCCCAGGCTGGCTGCAGAGAGGCCTCAGGACCAGGACCGAGGAGCACTCCCTGCCTGAGGAGGGCCCTGGTCGGGCCTCCCTGCACACTCTCTGTGCCTGGCCACCACGTAGCGTGTACCGGTGTGTATGTGGGGGGCGTGCACACAGCAAGGGGTGGGCGCGGGCCGAGACTGTGGGTGTGTGTGTGCAGCTGGCTGTTCGTGTGCTTTGTGGTCCCTTTGCAGAGGGTCCAGAGGTGGGAGGGGGCGAGCCCTGCTATCAGGAATTACTGTAATAACAAGAGCTGGAAGCTTCTGTTTCAGATACTGGATAAAATGATTCTACCTCTGGGGATAAGGATTAACAATACTCTGAGTAGTGGCTTTTACCACTCCTGTGCCCTCTGGGAATGGGAGCAGAATCAGGACCAGGAGTCCCGGGGCCCAGCAGCCATGTCCTCACCAGCCTCTTGGACCACTTTCAAGCCCAGGTGCTCCAACTCAGAGGAGGAAGGGGCTTCTGCGCCCCCTCGCTGGTGCCCTCTGAGAGGCTCATGTGCAGGGCGTTGCAAGGAGCAGACTCAAGGGAGCCGGCCTGGGGGTGACCTACATGCTGAGAGTTCTTGGCATTTTTGGCATTCTCCATACACTTGCCCATCTCTGCTGACTTACCTCTCCTTTCTGTTATGTTTTTAAGATGATTTAAAAAAAAAAAGCAGCAGTTACTTGGACATATAAAATGCAGGGACTAAAGGGAAGGAGAAAGGGGCTAAGAACAGGGAGTCTCAGGCACACGTTGGCATCTCCCAACCAAAGACATGACTTTCCAGGTGGCGCCCACTCACCTAAGCCCGCGCCCCTTGGTTGCCTTTTGAGAGGAAGCAGCCAGGGACTGTCTGGGTGGCTTCCTCAGGCTTGAGTGGGCCTCAAGCGCAGTTTTCTGCAGGGCCTGGGGCTCCGGCTCTCAGAATAGAGCTCTGGCTCGCTCAGGAGGGCAGCGAGGCCTGTTCCAGCTTTTAGAAACAGCCCCGCCAGGGAGCACTGCAAAGGCCTTGCTGCTGGGGCCGCTTGGGGAAACTGCTGGGAACCCTCGCCTGCCCTTGTGGCTCCTTGTGGCGTGGTGGGGGCCAGGCTCGGGGTTCTCAGTGGTGCGGCGGGGGCCAGGCTCGGGGTTCTCAGTGGGCTCTCTCATGCGAGGTGTCCGGTACTGGTGTGGCACTTTCCTGGAGTTTTCCAGTTTATCTCAAATTTTGTATGACTTGTGATCATTTCCTTAGTCCATTAATTTTATATGATCCATATGTATGGATTATGTAGAGATAGATATAAACATGAGAGTCTTGCTTCCTCCCTATAGTTCCCCGATAGAAATGTGTGGCGAGGAGAGTTGGGGCATGTTGGGAAGGGGCACTGCGGCCGAGGGGTGTCCACGGAGAAGAGAGGGCACAGAGGGGTGAGGTGCCTGGGGACTTCAGGTGCTCCTGCTCGAGGGGCCGGGCTGTGGGGCTGGTCTCATTCTACCGGTCAGCTTTTTGCCTTGGTTGGATTTTGCAAGTTCTTTTTTAGGTGTGTATACGGCATTTGTCTCATGCTGCAAATAATGGGGTTGCGTTGGTCTGACCTGTGAGTGCAGCTACCGCACCGGGAAGACTGGGCCAGGAGTCAGTCTTTGGGACTCTGGAGTCCCTTGAGGGTCTGAGCAGAAGCGACAGTGGGAGTAAGGTATGGAGAGTGTTTCTCGCGGCGAATTTGCTACCAGGAAGGAATGGCCACAAGTGAAAGGAGAGGAAAGAAAGATTCTGACTTGGCTTTTCTGTGGGTTGTACACCGGTAGGGGTCCTGCAGACAGAGGCCAGCCAGCTCATCCCAGGGTGAGCACTTCACATGCACTTTATATAAAATGCTACCTTTAGCTCCAGGGGTATGGATTTTAGAGAAGCCCGAAGATCGGGAGTCACAGACTCGCAAGGGAATCTCTGCCATAGGGGAACGAGGGCGCGGTGGGAAAAGCCGTATGCTTACCGCCTCCCTCCTCTAGGGGGCGCCCGGGAACGGATTCCTGGATACGCAGGGAGTCTGAGACGCCCCTCTCCTCTGGCCCTGGTAATAGGTCTTTGTAATGAGGCTCAATTCCCCGTGATACACTCCTCAAGTCCGACCTTTCTTCAGCCAGAGTACATCTCTGACTTTTTAAGATCCTGTGTCTTTTTAAAATGCTCTCGTGTGCTTGAAACCTGGGGGCAGGGAGTGCTGCGGATGGTCCGGGGTGCAGCCATGCAGCGCCTGGGCAGGTTCCAGAGCTGTGCCTACTCTGCGTACAGGTGAGCAGCCTGTGTCTGTCTGTCTCCTTCCCTTTTGGTTGGGCTTTCTCTCTCAGTGGGGCTTCTAGGCTTGCAGGATGCCCTGTTAAATTTGAATTTCAGGTAACAAATTTTTGTGTGAATGTGTTCTGTGCAGTACTTGGGATCTATCTTCAAGTGGGGAGATTTTTTAAAACCCTACCGGGCTGACCCCAGAGGTCCTGATGCCTTGGTTTGGGACGGGATGTGGCCCCAGGCTGGGATGGTGCAAGACCTCCCCAGGTGGTTGCAGTTTAACTGAGTGGTCTGTGGGAGGTTTATTCTGGCCTTTTTTTTTTTTTTTTTTTTTTTGGCTAAACCTAGCAACTCTACCAAGTAGGGATTAGCAGAAACTGGTTTAGGGAGCTTTTCCAGGGGCGGGCGTGGGGAGGCAGCAGACTCACATTTTTCACGGGCCACCCTTGCGTAATGTCAGAGCCAGGCAAACCTTGTTGGACTTTATTTATTCACATATATAGCAGAAAATGAAGCACCTACTGGACCACACAGGCCCTACTCTGTGGAAAGTTAAAAGAAAAAGCTCTAGGAAAAAAAATTATTTCAATTTTGAATTGGTCAGAGTCAGCCCTAATTATTTTATTTTAAATTTGTAGATGGAGAATTTTCAGAGGAAAATTCCTTTATCGTGACCTCATTTCTGATCTGTTGAAAACACAAAGCTCAAGGACCTCCCAAAACACATGGAAGTGCAGCTGACTTGGGCTACACATTGGAATCACCTGGAGAGAATGAGCCAAGGCTGCTGACTTGCCGAACTGCCAGAGGCTCAGGCCTGCCCAGGGCAGGGTGCCCCGAGCATCTGTGTAAAGAGCTCCCAGGTGGTGCTAATGCGCAGCCCAGTCCGAGCCTGGTCCCAGAATGTTGCTGGCAGAGGCAGGGATGTCCCTGGCTTCTCTTGCTTTGATGTCAGATGTTAAGAAGGTAGCAGATCCCTGCCCTCCCCCCCGATAGAAATGTGTGGCGAGGAGAGTTGGGGCATGTTGGGAAGGGGCACTGCGGCCGAGGGGTGTCCACGGAGAAGAGAGGGCACAGAGGGG